CCAGCCCAGCCCAGCCCAGCCCAGCCCAGCCCAGGTGGCAGGGAGTACAGCTCAGCCCAGCCATGTGTGTCCTGCCGCCTCCAATCATGGAGCCTCTCACAGACTTAGATCGACTGGTTGGTGACCACTGCATTATAGGACTGCAGAGAAGCCTGCTCAGTGGGCCCTGACCTGTGATCCTAATCAGAATTCTTAGCTTCTCTGTGGCCCTTTCCTTCTGTCCATCAATACAAAAGCAGAGCAATGTTGATACCCCCATTTAGAAAAAGGAACACAAAGACAAGAAGGTGAATGGATTTGCCCATGGGTGCACTGCAAGTCAGCATAAAAGCCAAGAATAGATCTTAGATGTAGTGTCCTAAGTACTGTACCACACTGCCTCTCAGGTATTTGGGAGCAATGAGAAGAACAACTGGGTGCAGTTTTTTGGGGTGTTTAAAGGTCTCATACACAAGAGTAGTCATTTCACATGGTCTGAAGCTTCTTTTTAGTACAGGAAATCCTAGCTTGTGGCTGCACAGTGTTAATGAGAAGGAAGGCTGGTCTGGTGGTTTAGATGTAGGACTGGCAATTGGAACATTGGGAAATTTCTGTAGTGACCTTGGTGAGAGACTTAGCCTCTCCATACCCCCATTTTGTCATATGTAGGATGAAGTAACAGCTTCCCAGAGTGCTGTGCATCTCTATCCCTTCATTCCTGAGATGCTCGGAGACTCTGCATCATGAACAAGGCTACCAAGAACAAAAAAGAGGAGACCTTGCAATGCTGTTAGAGTTCTAGACCATGAGATTTCTGTACTCTGCCTGCTCATCATAAAATATGTACAATCTTATTTGTGCACACAGGCATTTTTAAAAATAGATACAAGTTAGAGCTGTAAATAACCAGTGCATTCCCAGCAAAACGGATAAAAACAAGCCTTGGAAATAAGCTAAATGTTTAGTTCTTCTGATACTTTTTTCTGACTTTATTGACTAGATTCTCCAAATTGAAGAGGATGCTTCAGTGAGGAGGATTATTCAGGCTGCTGACTGGCTTTTGGATTGCCTGAGCACAATGGAGTCTGCAGGAGATATATCAGCCCTGCTGGCCGCTTTCTGGGATTTTTCAGAGTCCCTGCTTTTGCTGAACAATTTGACAGAAAGACGCATTCAGGAACTCAAAGCATCTCCTCAGCAGAAACACTTGGCTGAAACCCTGCAGATCCTTAGGAAATGTGTCCCTCTGTTGCACGCCGCCAAGCATGGTGTTCTAAAACACCCCCAGGACTTGCAGGTGAACCTTTCTAAAGACTATGTTTTTGCCTTGATTGATAGAACTGTAAAAGAACTGATTTCCTTGCTTTCAAATGACTCGGGGAACAAAGAACTAAGGGAGAGAAATGGTCTCTTTTCCCACCATCTGAGTCAGCTAATGGGTCTCTTGTCCAGTCCACACCCTAAGCACTTTTATGAAGGTGAATTTAACTTGCTTGTAGAAGCAGTGGTTTTCTACTGCATGATTTTAGCTGATTCATCCAGGCCAAATATTAAGCTGCAGCTCATCAAACATTGCCATCATCTCCTAACTTTCTGGAAAAGCATCTCCAGCCACGCAAGCCTAACAAGACAGCTGGCAACACAAAATCAGATAATGGGTGAACTAGTAGAGAAATGTCACACAATGAGGGAGGAAGTGGAGAGTCTTGATCAAGCAGTGCTCACTGCCCTTCTGTGTCAGATTGTGGACACATTCACCGAAACAAAGGAACCCCTGAAACGGTTAATAGAAGCTGTGCTGGAGCCTACTGTTATGTCATGTGCCCCTGCAGAAGGGAACAGATTTCTGAAGAAACTTCAGCCTCTCATCACTGCCTTCTTTAGCCACTCTCATCAGATGATCAAAGTGGCCAATTTTGCTCTGGCCAGGTGCACTAAAATCAACACTGTTACTGAAATTGAGGACTGTGTAGGTTGTTTAAATAGACTCCTGGCCACTGTGCCACTGCTCCTCACAGAAGTGAGCAAAGATCCTCCAAAGGTTAGCATGTCTGAACAACTGCAGTCCTTGTATCATACGTGGGCTGGGACAACAGAAAGCCTGCTGGCATGCTTTGATGAGGTAATCAGCTTGCACGGATTCCTGGATCTGTCTGTTCAAGAAATGGCCAATCATAGAGAAGGTTGTGAGAAAGCTCTGGAAAGTGAGATCTCTGGAGAGTTTTCCTGGCATGCTGCTAATTTTACCTGCCGAGCTGCCCGCATTGTCCAGGTCATTCTCAGATATGTGGATAAAGCCAGAGATCCCATCTTCAGGAATGGCTTACTTGTTTTAGTTAAGCAGTTGGACACATCCATTCTTGAAGTGAAAGCTGCCACTGACCAGTGTTTAGAAAGAATCTCCTGCTCACAAGCAAGAAACACTTTCTTAGGGAGGGCAAAGCATCTGGTTGACTCTGCTTGCAGGGTCAGAGAAGGGCTAGATGAGTCCAACCATCCAGCTATTCTTAGCCCCCTTCGGGAGCACATTCGGGAGCCTGACCTTCCCAGAGAACTGGCTTGCTTTGCTGCTCATGAACTGTCAACACCTGGGGCCACACATGCCATAAAACCAAAGACCACTGACAGTAACAAACTACTGGAAGATTTTTTATGCAAACCGCTTCAGTCAGTCTCCTCTGCTTTTGAGATGCCTCTAAGTCCAGGTAGCTTATATCTTAATGGCACTCCAAGAAAAGCGGATGTACACCCTGTGATTGGGCAACTCTTAACAGCAACAAAGAAACATGATGTCACAGCTGTCAATACTGCTTGCTCTGCTTTGGTTGAACTCTCCAACTGCTGTGTTGATGCGGCTAAGGAAGCCTTACCCTTTGTTCAGTCACCTTTGTTGGAAAAGCTGACACACTACAGAAAGATAGTATTATTAACACCATGTGTTGTTAGCTTAGCTAGGGAAATAGCCCCAGACCCACTGTCCAGTACTGACAAACTCCTTCAAACAGCTATCTTGCTTTCTGAGAGGATTTGTGAAACTAAGCAGTGCCTGATGACTGTGGCAGACTCTTGGTACAGCCTGTCACAGCAGTTGTTCTGCGTTATATCTCCATATGATTTTCTGAAAAGCAAACAAACTCTGGATGAGATAATGCAGGCGTTAGCCCTGGTTGTTCAGCTAGCAGGTGACATTGCATGTACAGACACTGAGGAGGAGCACACTGTGGTTCCAAAGATCCGTGAAAGGTTTGTAAGAGTTCAAGCAAAATTCAAGTGTGCCCAGACTAATACAAAGCTTTTGTTAGAGAAGGTGCTGTCCTCTGGTAGCTTCCACTCTAACCAGGCTGGAGTGGGCAGACTGGAAGCCAACTGTGTTCTGTGGTCTGTCATCATGCAAGTGCTCCTGCTCTCTGTGGATCATTTCATAGGAAGAGATGTTTTGTTCTTGAGTGAACTGAGAAATACCATGAAGCACAAGCTTTGCCTGCAGACTGTCTTGGCAGCTGTGTCTGAGAGCTCTCTGAGAATACAGGAAGCAGCCTGCCTCTCTCCCGCCTCCTATGCTGAAGGTGGTAGGGATTGTGAGATTCTTGTGCTGAGGCAGGAAATCAAGATGCTGACTGAAGCTGTGTTGCAGGTTGCAGATATTCTGTCGGTCTCTCTAGTGCCTACTCCCAACCTGTCTGTTCGCTTTGAGCTTCTCCAGCGAGAGCTTGCCATTAGGGCACAAACACTGATACTCTACCTCAACAGCACCAACCAGGAATTTCTAAGGGTCATCCAAAGTGTTGTCCAATTGGCTCTGCCTTGTGCAAGGGTCCATGACAGCGACAGAGAGATGATCAGAAAGGTCTTTGAAGAGAGGGCTGGGAGGATGATGGCAAATGTCCAGCAAGTCAAAACAATCATAAAAGATGCTCTGCGGAACACTGCTTGCTTAAACCTACAGGAAAGCTTGCTCTCAGCCACAGACCACCTTCTCCTCCTCACCTCGGAGGTGATAAGAAGAGCTAGTAAACTCCTACAAAGCCAACAGGACAAGGAGCTTTTCCAGCTGGATAATATTTTATGGGAATGGGCTGCTAAAGCTCACTGTGTTGTGACCCAACTTCAGTCAGTTCCAGGCATCAGGGAATCAGCCCTGGAGCTCATTAAACTGTACTTGCAAAACAGTGAGTCACATAATGTTTCACATCAACATTATGACACAGCACAGCTCTTCCAAGCTGAAATACCCGGCACAAAAAATCAGAGTTGTGCAGGTTTTGCCAATTCAGCGGAAAGTTCCCTGGCCAAGAGTGAATGGACAGGTTTAGCTGCCAGGGAGACATTTGAAATGGTATAGTGGATTTTGTCCCTTCTAGCGATTTCCTAAAATTAATCAGTGTAAATTCTAAGTTGTGCCAACTGCATTTCACTGCTTTTCTGCTATCCTCTATCTTGTTTGAAATTGCTTTAGAACTGTAACTTTTTTCTTTTAAAGCAAAGCATAGGATACTCTAGAATTCTGGTTGTTCAGCGTCTCTGACAATACTGTGACAATACGTATTACATGCACCTTTTCTCCAAAAATCAGCTTCCCAAAATTGGGGTGCATGTCTTAAGTGAGGAAGTTGATGTTTCTGCCTGGAATAGAAGCACCCCATTTTGATTCCTGTTACAAAGCCAGCTGTGCAGCAGCAGCAATAGCAGCTGAGGGAGTCAGTTGACTTAATGGCTCATTTTTTTTTCCCAATCAACTGATCTCCTTTTTAATGGTCTTGATGTTCCAGTAATCAAGCTAACTTTTGCTGCCTGCTAACTCCTCCTGGTCTCCCTTCTCCTATATCACAGCCTTGCAGAATTTTTAACTGTGTCCCTGCTCTATGCAACCTTAACTCTGGAAAAAAATCTTTTCCCCAGCACTTCTGTCCTTCCCAAAACAAAGTGCATATCTTGTATGCAAGAAAATATAATATGTCCTTGTACCTGCATTACTGCCTTAACATCCAGGCAGTGAAACATCAGGCAGCATGTGCCTAGTGTTCTGTTTACTGGGGGTTACCACCAGGCCTGGCACCACATTCTCAGGGTTCATGAGACAAAACAACCAATTGCCTTGTGAACTTATGTAAAAGAGGCCAGAACAGGAGTTCCCTGTAAACCAGATCTGAGTTCAGAGTTTACCATTGAGTGAGTAATGTTGAATCGAATACGGAGGTATTGGTGCTGATCCAGGGGACAGTATTTACAGCTAGCATCAAGCACCCAGGTAGGATGTAGGTGCACAGCAAGTCTGCCACTCAAAAATGAGATAGCTGCTGATTATAATCATCATCCTCACCTCTGCAGGTGTGGTTGCTTTTGGTTCCTGCACTGTTCAGGAGGTGTCTTCACTCAGCACATAGTCTGCCATTTCAGCTATGGCTGTGGATTTGGAGCTATGCCCAGGGTTGCCCTGGGTAATGTGCTTGCCAACAGAGATCTGACAACAGGAAACAGAGAGAAGCAGCATCATCATAGAGCAAACACCTAGCCATAGCTAGCGGGTGGTATGCTCGCTTTCTCAGCATAGGTGCCACAGTTCCTTCTCTGGTACACAAATAGGAACAGGGAGAAAGTTGGAGGGAGCATCCAAGATAGGCTGCTCATGTCATGCTACAGCCCTGTCATTCTGATGACTTAGGGGGGGAGGAGGAAGGGGAGGGGGAGAGGGGCGGGCAGGTTACTTCTGTTTATGTAAAGGTGCAAATATTGATATAAGACATTTGCATAAACTCTCCAATTTCTGAATCTTCAGCCTTTACTATGCCATGGTCAGGGCAGGGCGGGGGACTCCTGTTGCTACCTTGGTGCCAACCTCAGCGATTCCTGGCTCAGCTCCTCACACTGCAGGTCTTTCTTTCCATTGCAGCTGCTGTCTCCACCGAGTTCCTCTAGAATGTCTGACCAAGCATCCTGGGGAGCCCATGTTGTTGTCTGAGCTGCAGGGAGGGCCTGACCACTAGCACTCTGAGGCCTGGGTTCATCATTCTCCCAGTCAGTTTAGCCAATGGGATTTGTTGCTCTGTTAGCTTGTAGGAAGTGCTGATGCCATTTTTGTATTTAGCTTCCAGCCCTCCAAGGTGCCTAGGGCCATAGCAGCAGTATTCAGGCATTTTAAAATAAACATTCCAGAGTCATTTTAGCTCGTAATTGCTCTTCTGAGCAGCTTAGATCTGCAGTTTGAAAGGATGGTTCAAACTGGGGGTTACATACAGAGATAATGTGAGGAGACAATTAAAAGGAACAATTAGGTTTGGAAAGCTTCTTCTGGGCAGACTCAGTCAAGTGGAAATCAGGGACTTAGAGTACTGGGCAAGACAGTTCTCATTCTGCCAGGGCTTATTTGCATGGCTTTGTAGGAGTGTCTGAAAGCATATGTATGCAGAATGGCCCAAGCATTTAAACATAACTCCTTTTTGATTACAAAAGCATTCTGCAAAGGGGACCTGAGCTCTCTTCACAATTGCCCTTTGCCATGGAGATGAGTAAAGCAGACTGTTGAAAATAAGATAAATTACCTGAGGTGAATTGGTTTCATTGTCTTGCCAGCTCCCGCATGAGTGTTGGAAGGACCAACACGCCAGCAACGGAGAGCCGCCGTGGGGAGCCCTGCGACCAGAAACTGAAGTTTTACAGGATGACACCAGTAGACTGGGCCAGGTCACCAGGGAACTGGCCACTCAAATGTTTCACATGACACAGTTTCTAAAGAGGAAAGGACCCATTACGGTACTTCCCCCTGCTGTGTGATGCAGAGCAGGAGAAAATATATATTATGGCAACCCAGACCAGAGCAACCCACTAAGCATGCATAAAGACTGAGCTTTCCCATCTGTGAGCCAGACCCTCAGTCCTTGTGTCCACTCAAGTTAAGAATATGGGAATATGGACCTTTCACAGAGTCTGCTCCCCTACACTGGCATAGCAGCTCCCCATCACCTCTGTTGTCCCTTCAGTTTAGTCTCTGCACCCCCAAAATCACTGTAGCACAGGCTGCAAGCCTGTGAGTCTGTTGGTTAATGCTGCCCTTTCAGCAATGGAGCTGTCAACAGGAAGTACCCTGGTGCCAGGAAGCAAAGTGCCTCACAGTAAGACCAGTCCACTTTCCAGTGTGTTTTGGGTTTTGAGGCCATTTGCCAGGAGAAAGGATCACATGGGGGAACTGGGAAGCAAAGACATTAATGTACCCTAGCTCAACAGGGACAGGCCATGGGGTTTTACAGGCTCTTTGTTTTTCATTTCAGCCAGAGTGTTCTTTACTGCACCTCCTCTCCCCTCTGGTTGTAGCAATCAGTTGCCTGGCCATCTCTTCCAGGTTGCATCTGTTCATTCAAGCTTGTCTCTTCCCTCCCATCTCTTGTATTCTGTGTGAGCCTGTGAAGTGGGGATGCTGGGTGGTGTAGGGACTAGTGTCAATGCAGAGTAAAAATGTGACTGGGGAAAGGGCTTTATTCTAGATCCTGGCTCTGGTTCTCAGTGATGCTGAGAGAGTTACGTAGCCTCTGACATCTCTGCTGCCCACCTACAGAGAGGAGATAA